AGTTAATAAACGGGCATAAACGTTAATCGATATACTAATTTATAATCTTAGCCTGTTCCGCTATCTAGGAATATCCTAATAATAATAATTTCTATTTAATACCGAAGATCTTAAATACTTTATTAATAAAAAAAGAAATAAATTAAAATCCTTAATCGCTTACTACTTCCTTTAAACAACCGTAAATATACTATAGTCCGTAATAGTATAAATAGGCAGTTTATTTAATAATAATAATATCTTTACAAGGAATATACTAAAATATTTTAGATAAGCGATCTATTATAACCATTATATTATTATATCCCCTTTTATCCTTTAATATACTTTTAAAATTAATAGCAATACATTACTAAATTCGATTAAGAATACTAAGCAGGTATAACTTACTAGGGGTCTTATCGCGAAATACTTTCGAAACTTTGCACGTTTAGCAATTATTAACGAAACAGTCAATATCGCTAAACATACCAACCCACTAATATTATTAAAACACGAAACGTCGAGTCTTATTCCTTCTAGGGTAGCCGATAATTAATTGGGCGTGGGCTTTGTAAATAAATATACGACGGAGATCGCCTTCTAAAACTACTAAATAGTTCTCTTTCTTTAATAATAGTCCGTCATCCTATAGGTTAAACTTTGTATCGCCTCCTTTTACCTTAAATTAATAAATAAATAAGGACGGATCTTCTCAATTCGTTTTTAAAAGAGCGTCTACCAAATCTATTCCTAATAATACTAGAAGTTCTTTCTTATTATCTAATAAATATAATTCGGCTATAAAATTTTCTACATCGCTACTAAACATTTCACCTTTATCCCTAATAAATAAATATATTCCTTTTCTTTCTTAATAAAATAACCGTAAAATACATTAATCTTCTTTCTTATCTTTTACTATTTAAAAATCTTCTAGCTTCCTTAAAAGAATATCAGCAACGATATTCTCTTTTTCCAGTCGGTATATAAATTTAAAAGTATATTAGGATATTAATTCTACCTATCCAATTTATCGGGAATTAAATAGTCGCTTGGTTAAAAAATATTCTAAAGCTTAATAATCTATTATAACAACAAACAGGTATATACCAATTAACTCTACCCGCCAGGTCATCAAAACTTTTATAATTACGAATAACTCCTTATTGTAAATAATATAATTTATTTCTACTAGGAGTATAGTTTCGGAGAAGAAAGCTACTAAATACTAATCGTTATTACTTTATTATAATTAGGACAAAATACCTACGTAAACTCCATCTAAAATATCTATTTCTACTCGTATAGGCTTATTATAGCAGAAATATACTAAGACAAATACCTTCAACAATCGGTCTTTCAATTTATTAAAGGATATCTAATATTCTTCAATCTATTAGAAGGGTATATCCTTTTTAATAAATCGGGTAAGGGGGCGGACTACCCAGCCGAATTCCCTTACGAATTTACAATAGAAATTATAGAATTCTATAAAGGATTGTACTCTTTTAATACTAATCGGTTCCTTCCAATTTCGGACTATAGCAACTTTTTCAAAGTCTACTAATACTCCTTCAATTAAAATAATAAATCCTAAGAATTTAATCGAAGTAATATAGAATTCGTACTTCTTAATATTGGCTTAAAGTCCGGTATTTTAGAACTGTTCTAGCACTTTCTTAACGTAAATTTCGTACTCTTCCTCTATTTTTAAAAAAATAAGAATATTATTAATATAAACGCTACAAAAATTATCCAAATATCCTATTAAAACTTTATTAATAAATCGTTAAAACGTTACTAGTCTATTAGTTAATCCGAAGAGCAAAACTTTATATTTATAAGCACTATAACGGGTACGGAAAATAATTAAATCCTTATCGTCTAGGAATATTCGAATACAATAAAATACTTAACGGATATCGATTTTTATAAAAATCCTAACCTTAGAAAGGCGAACAATAGTTTCTTTAATTAAGGGTAAGGGATAACAATCCTTCTTAAATAAAATATTTAACTTTTAATAATCCACACAAAAACAGAATCCTCTATTCACCTTCGGCGTAAATAAAATAAGTGTTACTTAGGGCGTAGTACTAGGTTCGATAAATCCTTTATCCAAATTTTTAACAATATAATCTCTATATACTTCTAACTCCTCGAAGAATATTTTATAGAGTAGGCTATAATTCAAATCCTCCGGGCGAACACCTTTATTTAAAGGAATATAATAATTAATATTTAAATATAAATTAAGAAGGGCGTCCGACTTAATTTTACTAAAAACTTCGAGGAAATTATAGTAGTAATTAGGGACTTCTTTCAAAATCCATTATTTTAATTCCACTTTATCGGTTTCTAGGGACTCGCTACAAGCGACGTGCCGTTCGTCAATAAAGCGGTCCAACTCATACAAACTAATTATATTAATATAAGTCTTTTTTACTATTTTATAGAAAGGGTCTACACTAATAAAGACTAAATCGGCAGGGCGATCTTTAATCCATCCCCAATTGCACTTTAAATAGTATCGGCCCTATACATCGCATAATAGATAAGGATCTTGAATTGGCTCAGAACAAGATCGACGGGGCTTAATTATTCTAAGGAATTCTTCCGGTTCCGGTAGCATTTTATTTATCTATTCAAAAAATTATCGATTTATATAATTAAAATAATATTAAATTGCGTTTAGAAATAGGGAATATATTAATCGGTATTATAAAATAGAGAAAGGGCGCTAGGATAAAGTAGGGTTAGTAAATTCCAGAAGGGGGTATTTTAATTTAGCGATTTTAAATAAGACTATTTATAAATTATTTTAGCCGTCCTATTATTACTTATCCTCTTTCTATATTAAGAATTCTCAAGCTTTAATATTTTTCTAATAATCTAAGTGTTTAAACAATTTAGAATCCTTACCCTTACTAACCTTAAAATCGCGGGAAAAATTTTATTTCTACAAAGTAGGAAAGAGTAAGTATAAATGAACAGAATTAGTAAAGACGTTGTTCTATACTAACCATATATTACCAATAATTATATCGCACTTTAAATTTAGAAGGACAATAATCTATTAATTAAGGATTTTATAATTTTAAATCTTAATATACCCTTTGAAGACGACCTCGACTAAGTCGGATTTAGCTTTTTTATAGGGTATAACGTATCCGGGGTTGAAATCGTCACATACAAATAACTTTAATAGCTTCCGTAGTTTTCGGGCGAAAGAAAGGTTTACAATAATATAAACATCGGCTCCGGTATCGATAAGAGCATTAAAAGTAGTAACAACAATTCTATTAAAAGCTACACTATATTTAATAAAAAAGGAAGACCTTCCTCTAAAATAATTATAAAAGTCGAAATCTAAATATTAAATATTAATAATATCGGTCGACTTACCCTAAGGGGAAACTTAGCCTAAAGTATTTAATTTCCCTCGTTAGCATCATCCTCCACATCTAAAGAAAATTCCTTATTAGAAGTTAGCATATCAATTAACTCTTTAACGCTAAAAGAATCCTTACTCCAAATAACATTAGCAATCGAATTCAAATAGACATCGAACTATTTAATAAACTTCTCCTTATAGGGGTACTCACTACTCATATATCCCTTCTTATAATAAGAGAAATAATAACCCTCATAACTAAACTCACGCATTTCTTCGAGGGTTAGGCGGTCGAAGGCTTTAATAGTTTTAACAACGGGTTTAGAGACAGTAATTTCCTTAATAGAACCGGTAACGCAATAGAAGCCTTACTTACCTTCGCGCTAACAGATCTTCTAAATATTTATATAATTACCTTCGTTTAAAGAATTAAAGAAAAGGATATAATTATTAAATTATTTTAACGAATCTAAATAAATTAATTCTACTACTTAATAGAATTCTTTAATAATCTTACAACGAAGGTCGCTTTTCTACTAATTACGCAGGTAATAGCACTAACTAACTAAATACTAAAAGGTATTTTTAAAAATCTAAAAATATTTATTATATTTTATTTTTAAATTATTAAACTTAGCAAGAACTTTTTTATAAGTACTATAATTGTAATATTCGTCCTATAAATATTTTAAAAATTTATTGAAATGATTAAACGATTAGGATAATCGGGGTCCAGATATAGTAATAATATTTAGGCGGCTTTACCTGCTAGGTAATTAGTAATATATCCGAATTTTTAATAATTATTATCGAAATAATTAACATTAACCTCAAATTTAGTCTTAATTTAATAGTACTATATATCGAAGGTAACCTTATCCTCCTTTTTATTATTATAGAATTTACTAGCACTCTCCTCTTTCGCCGAACGTTTATTATTTAAGGACTAAATTATAATAGTAATACCGGGAATATTAAACCGAGAGCGACCGTTAGTACAGAGGGGGCTATTCTTAAATCCCTTCAATATTCTAAATTTATTAGAATCTTTATCGGAATTATCGGGGTCTCTATTACTAAATATAGTCTTGCTTATAACGTTCAACGCAACTTTTAGAGAAGTTAATAAATATTTATTTTCCTTCTTAAAACGTTAATTCTCTACAAACGCCTATTGAAAATTAGTATTTGAAGCGTAGAAAGATTAGTCGGTAGGGGGATCCGGATTAACACTAACGATTTTCTTAAATAAATTTATAGCGACGGAACCGAAGCAATCGGCCTAAGTCTCTATAACTTAAAAATCTTTATTAATTTAATTGAATAATCCAATAAAATTATTAAATTAGTCGATAACGGCTATAAAGGAAGTAATACGTATACGTATCTCTAAGAATATAACCTTAAGGGTTTCCTAGAATAGAGTAATAAATTACTTATAGGTTATAAGGCTATTAAAGGTTTTAATTTTGGGGTCGCCCTTACCTTCGGCTATTATAAGGGTAAATAATATAAAAGCATCATTATTATAATATATATAATCGAAGAGACTAAGGAGATATTTTTTTAAATTGTAAGTAAGGACCTCTTTATTAACGAAATAATAAGCACAATAGGTAATAAATTAAACATAATCGAAATAATATTTATATAGCTCTTCGGGAGTTAAACCCGATAGGTCGAATTTATTATTATTATCATCGATATTAATAGTATAGGAAGCGGCTCCTTGGAAATCGGGACTATAAAAGTCGTTAGGATCGAGGGACTTACGTCTAACCTCGGAGGAGGGGAATTTACCTTCTTTCGGAATATATTTCTTTAAAATATTAGGGTTAAAATAAACCCGGCGCGATTATACAACTTCAATATTATTACGGGCTATCCTAGTAATTAGATAATTCCTTCTTATTATTTAGTTAATTAGTAATTTAATTAGTAATTACTTTAAATTCCTCTTTAGAAATCCTTTATAAAGGATAGGGGGGATTACAACATATTGTATATCGGATTATTTACTTACTCTAATCGTTAATTCTAATCGTCAATCACTACGTTACTACATTATAACCTTTTTTAATAGTAGGATATTTAAAACCGTCCCTAGTAGAGAAATAAATTATAAATAGTATGAAAGTACGTAACGGGCGAAGTAAGGCTATAGTATTATTAATATTTAATATAGAATTTACAATTAAAGAGTAAAATAAAAGGTAAGAGTTGTGCGCGCAGCTGGCGATAGGAGATATGCTCCCAGAGCCAGGTCCACTACAGCCCACTCTTCCTTATCTAATCTACAACCAATTACATCAATCGCATCCGCGCGATGTCCTCCAATACAGGGCATAACCCATCCGACTGGGCCATAACAATAAGGATAAAGATAACGAATTAGGTAGATATTAGGAGGCGAGGGCGAGAGAGTAAATGGCGAGAGGGGAGGTGAGGGAGGAGGAGGCGAGAGGGGAGGAGGAGGCTATTAAAATATCGTTAATAATTTTATTTAACGAGCTATCTAAGCTGTTAGATGTTAGTATTTAGAGTTCCCTTAATACTATAAAAGTATTACTAGATTGGCGTTGTCAGATTTGCTGTATGGGATTTGCCACATGGGATTCACTGGGTTAGAATGTTGTAAGACATCACAAATCACGATTTTTACAGCTAAAACAACATATTTTACATGACAGCTGACATCCCTCTTTTTTGGGTGTATGTAGGTTTGGGGTGGGTGTGCGGAGGTTTACCCTAAAGGAAAGTGGCGCTTTAAATTTGAATTTTATTCCTATTAGTTTTATTATTCTAGTATTAGAATAATATAATAGTAGGAAAGACGAGATTAATTCGCTATAGCAATAAATAAAAACCGTTATAACTATAAATAAAGTAAAAGCGGTGTAAAATCTACGACCGAAATGTAGCTAGGGGTTTTTATCTAGCGGCGCTTAACGCTATACGGTTTTCCCTTCTAGGGAACTAGAGAAGGACCCCATGCCAAAAAGGCACTATAGTTATATAGTATAGGGAACAAGATTATTATTAGTCTTACCTAAAATTTAATATTCCTTTCTTTTTATTTCCTACTTAAACTATATAAAATACTATATACTATACTTATAAATAATATTTATTTAGCCCTTACTTTTCTAAATTACATTTTCGTAAAATGAAACAGCCTTGCCACTTTTAAACTCGCTCGGCCTAAGAAGTTTATACTAACTAATAGTATTGTAAAGGGCCTTATAATTGAAAAATTAATTACGAACTTCCTTATCGGGCGTTATAGAGAAAACGTTACCTTCCTAGTATATAACCTTTCCCCAATCTACCCGGTAATTTTAAACCTACCCTAGTTAAAACGCTATAAGCTATCTATTTTGTAGACCGGTAGAAAAATATATTCTTTAGTAAATATAATATTAAATACTTCCCTACTAACTTACCGGCCCCTTTAAGAATCGTATTAAATACTAATTACTACTCCTTCTTTCCTTAATATTGCTATACCGACGACCCGCGAAATAATATAGTAAATAATAATAGCCTTACTTCTTTAAAACCTTAAATAAAAATAAATAATTATATTGTAAGGACGAAAACCTCTCCTTTAATTTTTAATTTCCGAAGATAATTACTATTTAAGGGTATTTTAAGTATTTTATTATTCAATCCGATTTCGACCCCCTTAAGCAACCTATTATAATTTACTATTTAGATTTAATTTTAATAAACTATTCCCCTTGTAAATCCCCCAGAACTTTAGATAGAGATAATAAATTATATTGAAAAGATATATAAAACTCCTATTAATTTCGCTATTAGGGCCGGAAAATTCGGACGATATTAAGAGCCCGATTACAAACCTAATAGGGCTATGAAAAGTATAGAAGGCTAATCGGGAGGAATTTAGAATAACAAAGCCGAAATTGTAATATATAGGACGCTTTATTATAAGCCTAGTCAAGTTAATAAACCGGAGAAGCCGGATAATAATAATCTTGTTCCCTATACTATATAACTATAGTGCCATCTTAATATAGGGTCCTTCTCCAGTTCCCTGGAGGGGAAAACCGTACGGCGTTAAGCGCCGCCGGATAAAAACCCCTAACTATATTTCGGTCGTAGATTTTACACCGCCCCTACTTTATTTATAACTATTACGGTTCTTACTTACCATTATAGCGAATTAATTTCATTTCTCCTACTACTATATTATCCTAATACTAAAATAATAAGAGTAATAAGAATAAAATTTAAATTTAGAACGCTGCTTCCCTTTACTATCCTTCCGTTCTAATATTTACCGCCCCTTTCTCTACCTTCTCCCTACTACCCTATCCTATCTTCCTATCTATTATTCTACTTCCCCGCTTCTTTATTCTATTTATAATTACTTCCACCCCGGCCCTTTACTTCCTACCCTATAGTTCTATTTCTATTTATAATAATATCAGAGCCTTTTCCTTCTTCTATATAATCTTCCCCGTAGCGCCCCTTCCTAACTCCTATTTTCTTTCTTCTTTATTATAATTTTTACTTAAAATAACTTCCTTAAGCCGTTATCGCCCTAGTCCAATTAATTTAACCTCTAACGTAAAAACCTCCTTTTTTAAACCGTCCTCTAATTTTATATTCTTAGTATATTTAGAGCCTATAACCTTTACTTATATCCTTTATAATTTTCCTAACTTCGTAATTCCTTAAAATTAATACAATTTCCTCCCTATTCTTCTAATTTATATACTAATCCAATTAATATTATTTATAAAATTCCTTACCTATATTATACTTTAAATTTAACTACTTACCCGAAGATTAATAATAAACCTACTTCCTCTAATACCTTCTATACAATTATTATTAATAAAGTCTATTATATTTTAGTATTTAATAGGTTCTTTATCCTTTTATTCCTTTCCTTATTATTATTTAATTCCTATATTATAATTACTAATTCTTAGAATACAACCTATATCTATACTACTAATAAATATATATTAAACGTCCCTACTAACCTTTATAATATTCGTAATATTATTTAGATAATAATTATTATTATACTATCGGGTGGCTAATTTAATTTCAATTAAAAATTCGAATCCTTTATTCGTACTATTAATAATTTTACCAACTGTACATATATACATTTAAAATATAACGACCTCCCTACTAATATTTATACTCTTCTCCGCCCTTTATATTCTAATATTATTAACCTTTTATAGAAGAGTTTAATAAAATAATCGTAAAGAATATCCGTTATAGCCGTACCCCCTCCCTCCCCGGTAGTAGCGCTATAAACCTAATTTAAATTATCTCCGATTCTAACGGCGGTACTATTACTCCTATATATATTATATCTAATAGTAGCACTATTACTACTCTTACTCATATAATTTCCGGTACTAATAATAATAATTCTACTCCTAATAATCTAATAACTATTAATACCTCCGGCCGCTACGCCCTAAATAAAGATTAGATTTAGTAGTACTATAAAATTACTACGAATTAAACCTATATAATAGCGCTATTCGAATAACTCTTTAAATATAATTAAACATTTTATTAAATAGCACTTCGGTTCTTATTATAATTATAATTTAAATAATACTTATAATTAACATAATTATTCCCTCCTTATCCCTATATTTTATTATTCTAATATTATTAATATTTTATTCCCTTTTTAAAAATATTTTATAAATTCTTTATACTACTCCTCTTCTAATTTAATTACTAAATAATATTCCTTTAACCTTTCTAACTTTAACGCCCAAAAAAGAATCTTTTCGGTTTTACTTCCGTTATTTAAATACTCTTAGAACTCTTCCTTTATTAATAACTAATTTTTAGAATCCAACCAAAAAGAATATCCGTATTAAAGTAATTTAGAATTATATAAATAAAAATCTCTTTCTCGAACCCGTATACGCAAATAAATATTAGGATATCTAGTACTTTCCTCCGGTAAAGGAAAGCCTAAAGGCTAATAACCTCTATCCTAATTTAAATTAAAAGGGAATTCTTTATTTTAATTAGTAAATATAACTTATTATTTTCGTCTTCCAACGTCTATTACCTCCCCTTCTTCTTCTTCGTATTAATTATATATTATTAAATAGCCTTTCTATCAAATTTAAGAGTAAGGTCGGCGATAAAAAATTTATACTACCAATTTAATTTAATTACTATTATTGTCAAATAGTAATTATAATACAATACCTATTCTTAATTTATTGTATCCTCTAATTATTTTTTTTAATTAACAATTATTAATTTTAAGACTTACAATAATAATAGTTAGGTCCCTAATTCTAAAGGGGGACCAGCTGCTATTATTAATAATTTCTCTATTAATACCTATACTTCGGCCCACTAAACCTTAACTATACTATTTTTTAATTTATTAATAAATAGCCAACCCCTAGCCTATTAAATTTAGATATAATTAAAAATTTAAATTATAATCCCCTAGACGAATTTAATTTAATTTATCCTAATAAACCTTTCCTCGAAGGCTCGGACCTTTTTATTAAAATAAAAATCGAATAGTAGATAAAAGGTTTCTATATTTAAATTCTGTATTAGTATAGCCTTATATACCCTAATGAAAATTTTTAAATATTTGATTTAATATTTCGCTAATTTAATTATTATCCTTTATAGTTTCCTATAGACTTTGGTCGGCTAATAAAATATTAATACTCTATACGTAATAGTACTACGAATATATTTAATATACATTTCCCTCGCCCGAATAAAAGAATAACCCTATATCTTTACTACTAATTTTATAAATATATTCGTTTAAATTTTTTCTTTTTATTTTACTATTTCTATATAAACTCT